AGGGGCAAAATGCTGTGAGTCTTTTTTTCTAAAATGTAGCAAGAATCACTTTTACTCCAGTTTCCAACAAGTTCCTCATCTCCAGCTGAGACCACCTTGGCCTAGATATCATTGTCCATACTTTTATCAGCATTTTGATCAAAGCCATTCAACAAGTCTCTAGGAAGTTCCAAACATTCCCACATTTTTCTGTCTTCTTCTGAACCCTCCAAACTGTTCCAACCTCTGCCTGCTACACAGTTCCAAAGTTGCTTCCACATTTTTGAGTATCTTTACAGCAGCACCCCACTCTACCACTACCAATTCATTGTATTAGTCTGTTCTCACAGTGCTGATGGAGACACAACTGAGACTGCATAATTTATAAACAAAAAGAGGTTTGATGGACTCACTGTTCCACATGGCTGGGGAGGCTTCACAATCATAGTGGAAAGTGAAAGGCATGTTTTATGTGATGGCAGACAGGAGAGAAAATGAGAACCAAGTGAAAGGTGAAACCTCTTATAAAACCATCAGATCTTGTGAGACTTATTCACTATCATGAGAACAGTATGGGGGAACTGCCCCATGATTCAATTACCTACCACCAGGTCCCTCCCACAACATGTAGGAATTATGGGAGCTATAATTCAAGATGAGATTTGGGTGAGGACACAGCCAAACCATAGCAGGCCCCATCAGAATGTCTTTTTTAGACTTCTGAATCATGGGAAACTGCAAATTTGAGTTAAGTATAATACAGTATGACATATTAAGGAGGCTTCATAGCTATTAATAATTAACTACTAATGCTTATGAACTTCCTTGGTATATGGCCTTTGCTTGGTTCTACAACGTGTCATCTTTCCTGTTCTAAATGTCGAGGGAGTCTCCATGCTCTGTGCTTAATTTTCATGCATAGGCAAACAAATTTGTCTTCTCAAAGAGTTCAAATTTGTCAAGTCCGCTTCACTCAGCTTCTGGTTGTTCAGCAATATTTTCAGGTAGAGATTTGTAAATAGAGATGCAGACTCACAAGTTTGGTATCATAAAAGGTATTTGAATAATTGGTATGGTCATATAAAAATTAAATACTAGAAATGCGATATACACAGAATTTAAGCCTTTAGATCAAACCTAACAACATGGTGAAATAATGACCTAGAGTTTTTCTAGATTTTCCTCAATTCACTAATAAATAATTCAAGAGGTATTATTTTCTCCATTTACTTCAAATACCAATTGGTAAAAATGCTCCCACATTCTACCTCTTGGCCCCCACCCACAACCTCTCAAGGAGCTATTACATTATAAGTAAGTACTAGGTGGTTAAAATTGCATTCATGGTTATATTTGCATAGTAGGCAGTTAAATCAGGTCCATTACTATGTTCTATGAAACTACATAATTACAGACCCTTCAAAGTGCATATCATTAACTTGGTGCATGACTACCTCCAAGCAAACATGCTGCAGATGAGTTGAGTCAATATTCACATGGTATTTTTTAGCTTTCAGTCTTGGGAAGAAGTAAAATACAGAGGCTTCTGGGTATGTGGTAAGGAAGAGTTGAGCATTAACTAAATTTTCCACATAATCATCTAAGAATTCAAATATCCATTTATTGAATACCCTGTTTTATATCATTTATATGTATGCACAATATCCAATGATGTCTTGAATGTCATTGTGCCTATGATATTTGATTAATATATATGCATGTGTGTATATTTATATACACATATAAATACATGTATACATATATAAATATATTTTTTATTTGTATAAATATATATACACATATATAATAAATATATGCACAATGGCATTCAGGACATCACTGGATTTTATATATATGTATTATCTATAGTAGCCAGGATTGGGATAAGCCAATTGATAAATCAGAATATAAGTTTATTTAATTAAATTAGAAATATACATTTCCAGTGCATCCACACCTAAACCCACAATATCCACCTTGCTACTAGATATGTTCCTCTAAATTTCTAGAGAACTGGATTAGTCCGCATAGGATTCCTTAGACCTTCAGGAATAAGAGCAAAAGGATGTGAATAGAGTTAGAGACTTTAGTGCAGACCTAGACAAAGCTTGGAAAGCATCTTTACCCCACATCAGCGCACACCTTTCTGGTTTGCAGACTCTGCTCATACCCACAATTGATGCATATTTGCTTTAGAAGCCATGTAAGTTAGATTGCTTCTCCTATGGTACCACCTTCTCCAGTTAAATATGGCTCTTTTTCCCAGAGATAGAGATAGATCAGTCCTTCTTCCCACTTGCAACATCCAGACCAGGACTATTATCACAGACTACCCAACTTGATCATCGCTACATCCTTCTAATTCCTATTGTCCCTTTCCCTCGTTCATTAAAGAATGAGTACATTGTCTTCTTCACCCCAAGTCTTACCATCCATGTTGGCAACATCAATCTTAACATGTATAGAGCATACAACTACCTGGCCTCCATCTATGACCTCATTTTCGGACTCACCTCCACCCCACCTGAGCCACATTCTCTCATCTCTGAGCCCACCATCAACAGACCCTGCTCCATTAATGAACTATTGAATTAAAATGTCCCACTCTAATTATTATATTATCCCATTCTATCTTCAACCTCCTGCCTCACTGGTTCATTGATGTCCATGATACCCACATAACAAAACCATAGCCTAGATCAGCTTGGACATTGTTTTTTCTTCCTTTTTTTTTTTTTTTGTTTTGTTTTTTGAGACAGTGTCTTGCTCTGTCATCCATTGTTGGAGTATAGTGGTGCAATATTGTCTCACTTCTAGTCTCAAACTCCTGGGCTCAGGCAATCATCCCATCTTAGCATCCCGAGTAGCTAGGACTACAGGTGTATGCCACCATGACCAGCTAATTACAAAAAAAAAAAAATATGTTGGAGAGACAGGGTCTCACTATTTTGCCCAGGCTGGTCTCCAACTCCTGGGCTCAAGCAATCCTCCCACCTCAACCTCCCAAAATTTAGGGATTACAGGCATGGGTCACCACGTTTGGCCCAGTGTTTTCTTTATGTTCACAGTCCTGGACACAAAGGAATGACTGACAGCACAGCCTGACTGCAGCTGATTGTTTCTGAGAATCGTACCACACATGCTCACAAGCACAAAGACATGGTGCATGAAACTAAATGACTGCCCTTGAAACTCATTTGAGCCTTCAACCCTTGTGTGACTCCTATGCTGTTCTCTCTTTCCTTCTCTGGGAGCCATTTCAAATTTTCTTAAATTCTTCTAACTTGACATCCATTATTTTTACAGATATTTTTACTTCTTCAAAGACAAAATAAGTCTCTTCAGGTGGGAACAACCTCCACTTCCAGTTGTCATTCTACAGCCATACTTTGTAGACTGTTTCCTTTCTGCCTTGTTTCTCTGCTTTCCTTTGCTTCTGACTCCTGTCCAACTGTATTTCATCAAGTTCAAATCACTCCTCAATTAGTAATTAAAAAGGAAACGAGGCAGTTTTTACTCCAAGTGTTGATAACCCCATTAAAATCTTCCTATTTCCCTCTTTACTGAAGCCAATTTTTTCATTCTCCTATTCCTTTTTATTGAGGTGAAATTCAAATAGCATAAAATCAGCAATTTTAAAGTGAGCATGACAGTGGCTATTAGTACATGGACAATGTTGGACAACCATCATCTCTATCAGTCTCCTAAATATTTTCATCATCAGAAAAGAAAACCAAGTATCCAGTCAGTTATTGGATACTTTTATTCCCTATTCTTTTCTCCTAGCCTCCGGCAACCACAAATCTGTTTTCTGCATGTGTGCATTTACCTATTTGGACATTTCATATTACATCAAATAATACAATGTGTGATCTTTTGTGTTTGGTTTCTTTTAGTTAACATGAGGTTTTCATAGTATATTCATAAGGTAGTACACAGCAATATTTTTGTGACTAAATAATATTCCATTGCGTATGTGTGTGTATATATACACACGCACACACTCATGCATATACACATTATGACACAGGGGAGTGTGAGGTCATTGAATCATGGGTCTTTCCTGTGCTTTTCTTGTGATAGTGAGTAAGTCTCACGAGATCCGATGGTTTTATAAATGGGAGTTCCCCTGCACAAGCTCTCTTGCCTGCCACCATGTAAGATATACCTTCTCTCCTCCTTCACCTTCTGCCATGATTGTGATGCCTCCCCAGCCATATGTAACTGTGAGCTCATTAAATCTCTTTTTCTTTATAAATTACCCAGTCTTGGGTATGTCTCTATTAGCAGCATGAAAACAGACTAATATACCATCCTAGAGAGTGTAATGTGATACCCTACTATAATTTGGCAACTTAGGGGATCAGATTCTCTCCCTCCCCAGAGTTCACTGTTGTTGATATTTTATGGCTATAGATATCAATTTATTCAGTTACTTTTCTGAACTATATTCATAAAGACTATATTCCTTGTCATTTGTGGTCACTGAAGTTTCTACTGTTATCTCAGTAGTCAGCCAATGACCTGACAGAAATGTTCTTAAACTATACTCTTTTCTTTTTTTTTTTTTTTTTTGAGACAGGTTCTCACTCTGTTGCCCAGATTGGAGTGTAGTGGTGTGATCATGGCTCACAGGCATGCACCAGCACACCCATCATATTTGTTTTGTTTTGTGTAGAGATGCGGTCTTGCTGTGTTACCCAGGCGGGGCTCAAACTTCTGGGCTCAAGAAGTCCTTGTGCGTTGGCCTCCCAAAGTGCTTGGATTACAGGTGTGAGCCACCATACTTGGCCAAAATGATTTATTTCAAGGCTGCCTATGACTCTGCCATAGTCTTTACTTACTATTTGCATGGTGCCTACAGATCAGCCAGAGGTGGAAGCCTAGGGTCCTCTCCCATCTGTTCTGAGCATGTTTTGGGTACTGGGCATTTTGTATTTCATGCTATCTTCTCTAGCGTATGTGATGGCTCTTGGAACTCTTGTTTTCTCATTAACCTTCTTTGGTTCCCTCCTTCCCAGACCCGGGTTCTGTCTGTTGCTTGCCCCATCTGATGTCCCTTTTCCAAGTGCACATGGGGTATGTATGTCTTTAAATCTTTTCACAGCCAATTTTAAAGTCTGGGTAGCCACTCCATACCAAGTTGTTAGGGTGGGAATGGTGATGAAACACTTGTCAGCCTCTACCATTCTCTCAGGGGACCACCAGACAGACCAAAATGCACAACCACAGTATTTTAGGAACAAGGTTTGTATTAATAGCATGGCATAAACAAGCTAACAAGGAGCACAGGCCACTTTCTCTGCAGCTGCCACTGCTGCAGCCCCACAATGGGGTTGGTATTCAGAGAATGGGGAATGATATTCAGGTGGGGGAAATTGCCGCAATGTTCTCTCACTGAATTTCAGCTGCCCTTGAATGGATTTGACTGAACTTTGATTTGACTCTCTCGTGGAATTTCCAATATTTTACTTTCCCAACACAGCTATATTCTGTGTTTTTCCAAAGAGTTGAATTTGCAAAGGGTTCTATTAGGACTATTTACAGATTTACTATCCCCATTTATTCTCTGTTCCTCATTCTCATTCAATCCCTGTTGCTACGGTCTAAATGTTTGTGTCCCCTCCTAATTCATATGTGGGAACCTAATCACCAACGCAGTGGCACTAGAAGGTGGGGCCTTGGAGGTCTAATTAGCTCATGAGAGTGAAGACCTTGTGAATGGGATCAGTGCCTTATAAAAGAGGCTGCAGAGAGCTAGATAGCCCCTTCCACCATGTGATGATACAGCAAGAAGTTGGCAATTTGTAATGGGAAAGAGAGCCCTCACCTGAATCCAAGCATGTTGGGACCCTAGTCGTGGACTTCCAAGCTTCCAGAGCTGTAAGAAACAAATTTCTGTTTATAATCTTACCAGTTTATGTTGTTTTGCTATAGCAGCCCAAACAGATAAAGACACTTATCATTATCTCTGTTAATTACTTCCATCTGTGAGGATGCTAGATCAAAGGCAATCAAACCATGGATTTTGAAAAGTTGTTGCCTGTCTGTATTGGTATTTATATTCATTTATTTTTAGTTTCTAATGCTAAAATTTCTTTCCTTTTTTTTTTCTTCCTTCTTCTTTTTTTTTTCCTTGATAGTATATGGGGAATAGTACAGTGAGTAAGTTCTGTAATATTTGTTTAAAAAGAACAAGAGGCTCAGTGACTCTGTAAATCATCTCCTTACTTAAACCTTCAACATCTCAACAAAAAGAAAGATAAATATTGCAAAAGAGAGATTTATCATGGAATGAGTAAGAACTTGAGTAAAGACTCATGATTATAGAACAAGAATTACCATAAAGGAAACTATCCACTGAAAACCAGGTTGTCTGAATTTTGCAATTTTGCACTATTACTTTTTTCAGAAAGAAAGTAGCTTTATAGACCTCAAGGATGTGCACTTCTCTCCCTGCAGTCCATTCTTGACCATACCGATGCCTAGAATGCTGTCCAGACTTCAGACTCTCACCCATCATTCTGGCCATTTTGTTAACCCATTCTCTGCCATCATAGTAGTCTCTCCCCGCTCTACAATTTTTCCCATCACTCTAATATTTAACATAGACATTAGGGAAGCCTGATTTCAGATTTGTTCACTGCTGGCACACTGGGAAAGTCTCATTTCCATGGTAAGCATCTTGGATTGCTCCAAGACAGGATTTATTTTTAACATTCCACATTGCACATTGTTGGCTCTCCAATATCTTCTGGCAATAAGATGCCAACAAGACAGAACACATAAAAAAGAAGAAAAACACCCAAACATTTATTTCCCCTTTTCCATTTTTTCCCCAAGCCAAGTTTGGAATGGTCTAAAGAGGGTTTTTTTCTTTTCCTTTTTTTCTTTGCCTGGAACGGGCTGCTATGAGGCACCTTTTTGGATTCAGGCATTTTCCTGTTGGCTTGTCCTGGGGTACCTACCATTGAAGTCCAATACATTTTACTTATCCAAGATACAACTGCTTAAGAGAAAAACAGCCCTTTGGTTGAAGAACAGCAGGCTCTACATTTTAAAGATTCTGTCTGTTGAGTGTAACTAGACACATACCTTTGGATTTATGACTTTACTGAGTCTTTAGCCCATTCTGACCACCTACAAGCCCACAAAAATAAAAATGTCAAATGTGGGTGTAGTGGTTCTTTACTGTGTAAGGTGAATCACTACAAGTGGAAGGCAAGTGTTTGGTCTTTGGAGGTGGTTGTGAGCAATAAACCAGAAGTGTCTGCTAAAAGTCTTGAGTTTTTCCTTGAAGAGAATTGCTCCCTGGAGAAAGTTTAAGTATACAATTCATCAGGATTACCATTGAGTCACTTCTCCTTTGTTTCCCCTTTTCTTCCATCATGGCAGACATACGCAGTGATAAGTGTGTGAATATTTGCAATGCCTCTTTCTCCACTCCAAACATCTCAGGTCATTATCACAAAAGAAGTTGTGTTTTGTAGATGAATTTTCCCAACAGATAGTGCATGGGCCATTGGATTCACTCCATGGTTTTACTCCAGACTCAAAGCATGTGTGGTAAAATGAAAGAATATAGAATATAGTTTATCTATTTTTTATCCTTAAAAAGGAAGAAGAAATGAAGTAAGTTCCATTTACTCTAAAAAATTAGCTAGTTGGGGATAAGTATTAAAAGATGGAGGTGTTTTTGTAGAAGTTAATGGAGACTTTGAGTTAGAAAGTGGGTTGGCAGACAGCGAGAAGTAAAATTAGTGGAGACTCGAATGCTGGGAGAACATCCTCTTTGTGTTTCCAACAGATTTCAGAAATCTAGAAACATATAAAATCCCCTCTTTTTTTAAAGCATCAAAGGCCAAACCAAACCAAACAAACCTGTATATCACATACACAAACACAACAGTAAATTTGAAGTACATTATGTGAGCACTGCTGTATAATTTTCTCTGTTAAAAATGATGACAAAGTTCTGCTCTGATTTATTTGAGATAGAGATGTGGAGATGTTGGGGTCAATTTTAGTGAGCCCCATTAGAGCCAGTCTGATGTAAGAAGATCAGGAGCCAACATTCACAGGCTACACAAAGGAAAGATTTATTAGGCAGCCAGAAACCCAGACATCTAGCAGGTTTGGCATTATTCTGCTCACCGCAGTAGAAATTACCCAAGACTTCGTTAATGCCTGCTTGGTTGCAAATGTCTCACTTATACAGTGCTCCCTGGGCAATGATTTTCATTTGGAAGAGCTATTGGCAACACATTTTTTTAAAAAAAGAATAAACTGCCAAGCAATATGCTCATCACCAAGTACCAATGATGACAGCACAAGCAAAATAAAGGGATTAAAAATCATCTGATAGCCACTTAATATTTTTGGCCAAGAGGGTTCCTTCCATCGACATTTATAGATAGAGTCTTTATGCCTTTGCCATAACTGTCTTTTAATTATTTTACTCCAGAAAGCACCAGTTACATTTGCTGTAGCTTAGATCATTATTCCTAGTCCCCAGTGCTGAGTAGTTGTACTTTCGTAACCAATAATTATTCATTGAATTAAGGCATGAGAGTATATTTGTCCCTATCTTTTTGCTCTTGAAGGAGTTGAGTACACTTTAAAGGTCCCAGCTCAAGTGCTAAGGATAATCCATAACCTTAGCAAGATCAAGCTTGGTTTCTATTTTTTAATCTTCCATTTACTTTGTGACACCAGTCTCTGTATTGCCAGGTTTACACTGAGAAAGTGCAATTAATGTTTCAGTTAATCAAGAGAACGTCTCTTGGTTTTGCCTCTCAAAAAACCTTTCCTCTTTATTCTTGAAGACAGAACTCTAATTTTCTTTTGTTAGCACCATCCCTGCTCCACTCGAATTAGATGTGGTTTGGGTGTGGCTATTGCATCAATCCCTGCATCCCTTCAGTGATGAATGAGGATAGGATCTATTGCAGACTGTTGGTGCTCTGCCTGTATCCCTTCAAATACACCTTCCATTTCCATGTGTACAATTTCAGCCTCCATCAGCTAGCAAAAGCATGATTGCTGGACAGCTGCCTTCATATTGATGAAACCTCCTTCTCTCAGGCACAAGGCAGGTGGAAAGTGCTTGGGGGGGTGGGGAATCCCACTGGAGGTAGCCCTTACCTAATATCTGATGAGTATAGCAATATAAGTACCCCAAATCTCTCACTTCTTGGCCAGGGTAATTCTTACATATTTGTTTTGCCAGAGACTAGTACTGCAAGGCTAAACTACAATGTTTCACTGGTATCTGATTTAACAATACTGCTTAGATTGGCTGACTTCCCTCTCACCCACCTGTGTTCCTTGCAATTTTCAATAAAGTGTTTTCACTGGAATCCTTGGCTCAAGGTCTACTTCTATGGAAACCTGAACCAAGATAAAAACCAAAATCTGGCACATCAGATTATTCTGTCTTCTGGCTTCAGTGACTAATTTTGGAGACCCAGGCCTTTCCCTGGAATAATTAAATAAGAGATGCTTTCTTTCTGTTGGGAGTCCTTAGTATATGAAATCTAAGCTGGTACTTTTCCTTATCTTTTTACTACACAAGAAGAGCTTTTTGTGAGAACAAAGCTAACACTCAAGAAAATCATTTCAAGGAATAGAGAAGATTTTCTTGATGGATTCAGCCATACTTGAAACTCTGATTTACCTCCAGGCTTTTCAATTATGTGAGTCCACTTCTTTTCTCACCATTTTGAAAACGAGGTTGAGTGAAGTTTCTGTTTCTTGAAACTGAAAGAGTTATCACAAATTTAGGTATAAACTAGAAGATTCTATCTTGGCCTCTTCTCAATGCTGTACTGGCCAGCAAGATGGGGGCTTAGTACCACAGTTTTTCAACTTATGATGCATATGGTGGTCAGCTGTTGGCTCAAAATTGTAGTTGTGGTCCATGGTATCTGAATACTGAGGAATTTATCTTTTCTGTTTTTACCAAATAAGTTGAGAGAGACTACACTTCAAATTTCACTGGAATAGAGGGAAAAATGTCTAAAATATTTTATCACGTTTCTTCTTATGTAAAACTTTTTGGAGGAGATGGGCAAATGGTCTTTGAGGGCAAAGAATTATGTCGTAGTGAATAAATTCATTAACATGAGGTAACTGATTGTCTTAACATTTTGCTGTGTAAATTGCAGGCTGCATTTTTTGTTTTAATTAAGCAATGCCAGAAATGGTTTTGTGGCATTTGCCTTTCGGGATTGGAAACCTACACACATCAGTTTTGTGCATGAGAACCAGAAATTAAAACTGACCACAGCTAATGGGAACCTGCTCAGGCCCACTTTATAGGCTCTACTGAGAGAAGTGCAAAGGGAAAACAGGCTAAGTGAACAAGGAAAAACACAAGTCTGCCTTCTCAATAAGTTTTAATAATGTATAATCCCCCATAAAGTAACATATGAACAGAATTATAAATTCTCTGTTGGTTACTTTTCTCCATTTAGGACTTGTTAAGTACCCAAAGGGAATTGCTGGACCTTTATATTTTTAATTCAACTTCAATGTCTTCAATTAGAGCATGCTGTCCGAATAAGTAGTACTCTTCAAATACATGATTGAGAACGACTAATGCTAAATCTTGAGGCATCTGTACCCCAGTGAAGATTTAGGGGCTGAGTATTCTTGAGGGAGTCTTTGTTGGCAAGATAGCTTATTCTGGAATGATCTGTCAAGTGTGCACAATCTGGCTATCATGTGCATGAAGTAAGACGTGAACAAATGGACATCCAAGACATAATTGTCACGGTTCTTAGCCTTTTTCAATGACCTCAGAAGAAAGCTTCTGCTTCCACCATTGAGTCTTTTGTTTGGGGTTCTACCTCATTTTCAGGCTTACCTTTGAAGAGATTATAAGACAGTTGTTTGAAGGTGTACAGCACCCCCTAGGTGCAGGTATTCCCGCACACTCAGGATGGGCACCAAATATGCAGAGAGAAAACTTTTATTAACAACTACAGTGACCCAAGGCAAAAATGTGCCACAGAATGTATTCCTTTTAGTCTGATCTCTGCAGCCTGCTCTTGTCTTTGGAGGTTGTTTAAGAATTTTACTCAGGGGACTGGTGGCCAGCTGCAGTTGTGCGTGTTTATTTTTTAAAGCTTTCCTGTTTACTCAAACGGCTCTCCTACATTGGAGTTTTCTCAATTGCATGTTGTGGGCCCTATCCTAGGTTTTTCACTCTCCCTCTTTTTCTGTAACTGAATCTTCCTAAAGATGAGCTCCTTAGAAAAGGTAAGAGTCCCAAAGCCAAGGTAAGAACTTAGAGTCGTTTGTAATTTAGTTGCAAATATGCAGAGTAGAAAGATGCTGTTTTAAGTTATCCACTGATATATAACAAACCACTCCAAAACTTGATGCGTTAAAAGAAGAAATTCTTCTCATGTTTCAAAAGAACTGGAAGAAGAGTAGAGTATGTCTATTTATCCACCTATTACCTCTAACAGGGAAGGGAGGGAAGTCCTGGGAGATTTCAGTTTCAACTTTTTTCAAGATTATGTAGGTCATGGGATGGTTCTTCTGTTGGTTTCACAAGAGTTCACGCAAGTGGCTCTATTTATCTGATGAGTTAGTTAAAATTGGAGGTTCTACCATGGCATCATTTTTCACAGTAATAAAAGAAAAATGCAGATGGCAAATACAGGCAAAGTCTCTGTTAACTCTTTTCCTTGAAGTATTAGCACATGTGAGCCTGGGGGAGATAACTCAAGTATATCTGTCTTACTCTGATTTGGGGAATAGAGGAATGTCCAGGCTGAGGCGTCAGGTCAATTGAAGAGTATTTACATTGTTGGAGATATTGTAACATACAACCTCATTCTAAACTTTAAGCAATGGTGAGGCCCTGCAAAGGAAAAAAATAGTTGGCTGGAACAAGATGGCTTGATTTTTTCTGGTGGATCAGAAAAAGGAGTGAAATAGTAAATGAAAGAGTTAACAATTGGCTTTCAAAACAGCCCCAACCCCCTGATTTGTAGTATTTATTGATTTCCTTTGTACAAACACTTCTACTGTGGCTAATGTCAAGCTTCCATTCAAGTTAAGAAGGCACGTGCACAATGAACTCTTGAAATCCTGTGCAAGTTTGCCCTAACATACCAGCTGTTCAGGAAGAATGAAAAGAGAGAGAGAGAGAAAAAAAAAAAAACAGTATCAAGACATAGAAAAGAGAAGTTCTCTGGGTTCTAAAACACATGGGTGAAACGTGAGTATAGGGATGGAAGATGGAACAGAATCTTTGGTGAAATCCTCTGCTACCTACATAGGAATACCTCAAGTGTCCTTAAAAGGCATGCACAGGCCAAAATGCACCAAAAGAAGAAAGAAGTAAGAAAGAAAAAAGGCAATATAATAGAGAGGAAGTAAAATTTAAAGTGTTCAGTTTGGGCCCAAAGTCATTGTTAAAACATGAAGTAGACAAATCAGTCACTAGGTTTGATTGCCTTATCAGTCTAGAAGGTTTGACCTGAGGTGAGTATGTGATGTAAAATGAGTACCACGTTGAAGAATGTCTAATGAGATTGACAGAATGGAAGGATTCAGGAATCTGGACACAGCTCTGGTTCTCTTATTCATCCAACGCTGTGACCTTGAACATTTGGCCTACACAAGTCATACATTTTGTCATTTTTCTATCCATCTTTGCTGAGTAAATGTATTCTTCTGTCTTCCCCTTCATTTAAGACTTTGAGTTCACGAGATTGAGACTGGCCTGGCTACATGATAAGACCTCATCTCTACAACTAAAATTTTTTTAAAAAATTATACAGACATGGTGACACACCCCTGTGGTCCCAGCTACTCTGAGGGTTGAAGTGAAATGATCACTCAAATCTGGGAGGTTGGGGCTGTAGTGAGCTGTGTTTGCACTACTGTACTCCATCCTGAAAGACAGAGTCAGACCCTGTCTCACACACACAAAAAAGACTGGTTTTGCCATGTTAATAAAGGCAGTGACAGAAATACTGCCCCTGGCCTGGCAGATCTGCCTTTAATGACTCAAACGGCTGCTTAATGATATTAGCAAAGTCCATTTATTCATGCAACAAATATATATGCCTCTATTTCTTCAGCGTATTCTTTTATGGCTACCTTTGTAGTTTTTGTGAACCTCTAATTCCATGGTATTTTGATTTACTGCTTGACCCATTGGATAAAGAAACAGCTGTATGAATATAAAGCCACTCAGCTCTGAAGAATGCTCATTCTTCTGACCTTTCAAAAGAACTGTAAGAAGAGTAGAGTACATCTATTTATCTACCTAATGCCTCCGACAGGGAAGGGAGGGAAGTCCTGGGAGATTTCAGTTTCAACTCTAGATTACTGAAGTGTGTTTTAAAGGATATCATTTGGAAAGCAATTTCAAAAAGACTTAGTTATCCTTTGCCATAAGCTACCTTGTATCAAAATCAAATGGTCTGTTCCATCAGTGACCTGACACGTACTGGATAGACAGCCAGTCACAACCAACTCAGTTTTTATTCTGAGACCTTTCCCAACGCAGATACTTAGCCCACACTTCTATTGAGAGATTTCTCCATTCCCAGTCTAGATAAGGAACAAGCCGAGTCTAAGCCTCCTCCTTTCTCATACCTTGAGGTGTATTTTGACTGCCTATGGTTTTAATATTTGAGATCTAACTATACGTCCCGCTGATAATCGACTCTAGAAAAATAGGCACATGTACAGCTATCTTGGGAACCTGGCTGGATGTCTGTATCTGCATGTGCCCACAATTGCATTCCACATGACCCTGACCCTGCCGCTGGGCGGTTCGAGTAGAGTAACATATAGAAAGTGATTATATTTAAGGTGCCTGGTTACAAGGCCAGTATTGGGAGAAGTCTATTTTGAGTGGAAGACTTTACTTTGGCCAACTGTGCCAAACTTTGATAACTATCTGCCTAGAACGACTTCTAACTCACCCATTGAGAGTTTGCATGTCATTCCAGTACATGGTCTACTGTGAGACTTACAGAGTAGTAGCAAAATAACTACATCTAATTATGCTGTGATCTTATGTTGAGACTGGAATCCTTTGAAAGTACAAGCTCTGTCTTCAAGTCGCCATCCAAATCTAAAGGGAAGTTATCCATAAATCTTGCAACACAACACTGTGTAGCAGACACTCATCTATCACCTTTGAAATCAAAGCTGTATAGGTGTCCTGATTGTTGTAACAGTCAGTGTTCAGGAGTTTACAAGAAATGAATTTCTAGGAATTCAAAAGAGAGGAAGGGAAAAGAGCATTGCCAAGTCGAATTTAGCTCATCCTTTTTGCTTTTGATGCCATTTTGCCTGCGTAAATCTCCACAGTGTTCCAGCCCCTGATGAGTCACATCTTCCATCATCTTCAGATCAGGAAATGATCATCTATGTCAGAGATACCTTGATTTGGTCTTCCTCAAGCTCATTTTCTGGGATGTCCTAGAGCATCTACATTGCAAAGGTTGAGATGATGTGTGATTAGAGCCAGAATTAGAGGAACACAATGCCATGGCTTTGCAGGTTTGGCTTCAATCAAGTACTCAGAGCCTTGATTAAAGATACTACTAAGGAATTGTGCCAGGCGCAGTGGCTCACACCTGTAATCCCAGCACTTTGGGAGGCCAAGGTAGGTGGATTACCTAAGGTCAGGAGTTAGAGACCAGCCTAGCCATCATGGTGA